CTGCACCAGTCCTGGTCACACCTGCAGACTGCAGGATGCGCTGTGAGAGTCATGTTCTTTGACTTCTCCATTGCCTTCAACACATACAGCCATCACTCCTCAGGATCAAGCTGGAAGGGGCAGGAGTAGACAGTTCCCTAACTGCATGGACCATCAGCTACCTCTCCAACAGACCACAGTTTGTGAGGCTTCAGAACTGTGTGTCTGATGTGGTAGTTTCTAGTACGGGCACTGCAAGGAACTGTTCTTGCTCCTTTTCTTTTCATCCTGTATACTGCCGACTTCAAATACAACATGGATAACTGTCACTTACATAAGTTCTCAGATGATACAGCCATTGTCGGGCATGTATCTGATGGGGACGATAAAGAATATATATCAGTAATCATCAATTTTGTGAAAAAAGTGGTGTGAAGTGAACTGCCTTCAAATCAACACCACCAAAACCAAGGAGGTGGTGATTGATTTTCATAGGAGAACCTCCCACCATACACAGTGAACATTCAGGGCAACGACATAGAGATGGTCGAGGATTACAAATACCTGGGTGTTCACTTGAACAATAAACTGGACTGGTCTACAAACACTGGTGTCCTGTACAGGAAGGGTCAAAGTCGTCTCCACCTACTGAGGAGACTGAGGTCCTTTTATGAAGGGCCTTTTATGAGGAACCTTATATGACTCTGTGGTGGCGTCCGCACTATTCTACGCCATCATCTGTTGGGGGAGTGGTTTAACCTCTAGAGACAAAAATTGTCTGGAGAAGCTGGTTAGGAGAGCCAGCTCGGTCGTGAACTGCCCCTTAGAGACTCTGGAAGAGGTGGGGAGAGGAGGATTTTAGCTTGGCTAAAATCCATTATAGACAATCCCTCTCACCCTCTGTTTGACACTGTGGAAGTGCTGAGCAGCTCTTTTAGCAACAGACTGCTGCAACCTTAGTGCAGAACTGAACACTTTTGGAAGTCTTTCCTCCCATCAGCCATCAGACTGTTTAATGCACAACAATAGTACTGTTCTGGTCTTTTAACATATTACAATCCTTCAACCAATATTGTTTACATATACCAAGCCTGTACATAGCTACACTGCAAATTGTTTGTATTTTTATTTTGTTCCACGTACACCACTACTAACTTTAGTCACTTTATTTTCCCTGCAGGTCACTTTAGATTTTGATCACCTTGTAAATACTGTCTACCATGCTGTTACTTTACCTTTAGTACTACATGTCTATCCTGCTGCTGTAACAACTGAATTTCCCCAGTGTGGGATGAATAAACTCTTATCTTATCTTATCTTTTATTTTCATAGCAATTTTATTCTCCATCCATTCGTCCACCCACCCATCTATCAGATGCTGGATGGTCAGTTGGAACGACCAGTAAAACACAGACTTGCGGGTGAAGTGCAGCAGAGATGCTTTAGTGCATCCAGTGCTGGGAGTCTTGTAGAGATGAAAGTAATTGTGAAGACAGAATAATATGACAGTTCCGTCTGCAGCCTTTAACAGTATAAACTGTTGGGAGAATTGTAGCAGTTTATGCACATCTGGCTGAATTTTATTGCACCTAATTTGGCTGTGTGCAATATATTGTTTTAGACACTGTCAGTAGGAGTCTGCAGGTTAACCTCTTCAGTATACAATGTATTTTTCTTCCCTCTTCCCTTCCTCTGTTAAACACACACACGTAATAAAAACAATACTAATGGTTGGTGGTTAGTGGTTCTTGGCTTCTTTAAACAGTCAAGTTTTGAGTTTGCATTTGAAATGAGGAAGAGAGTCTAAGTTGCAGAGGTTAGGTGGAGTGACAATGTCCAGCAGGTGAAACAGGTATGGAGGGATGAGATGATGTACGGTCATCCGCTTATTTCTGTTTTCTTGCAGTTCTTAATTTATTTATCCTAGCAGATACATATATGTGCTGTGTTCCATTACCATGACACTGGACAATGATGCGACAAAGACTGAGTGAGGGGGAGAAGAAGGAAAGGAAAAGGAAAGTGAACTACTTGTCATTGTGACACACTCCACATTTTCCCTGATTTGTGCAGCAACAAGGACAAAACAACGAGAGGGACGTAGTGAGGACTGCCAAACAGAGGACTGCAGAGGGAGTGTGTGCTGCACACTTACTAAGCATGCAGTGCATTAGTCAATTAAAAAACAAGAGATGAATTGAGACTTAAATCAATGATTTGACACTAATGAGATGATTCATCGACATCATGTCCATGTACAGCTGTGCCTACACTGCAGGGTCCAGTTAAAGTTATATGCTGATTATATGACATTTAATCTGGGCATGCGCACAGTGAGCAAACATTTAGACTTGTCCCATGACTAGAACTCTGCACCCTCAGGTTTTTTCAGATGCATATTTTACAAACTGAGCCTAGGCTGTGCTGGCACCATACGTCGTTGGCAGTAAGCAGTTTAGAGCTGAGCTTGAAGAGATAGAGTACAGCAAGTGAGGAATGGAGAAGCAGGTGGAGGATTTGGGAGAAGAAAGTTGCCAAGATAAAAACTGGGGGAAATGCTAGGTGTTAGCGAGAGACTTAGAGGTAAGACACTGAAGACAGGAAGTGTGTGACGAGGGACAGAAGTAAGGTGTTTTCTCCAAGGTCATGTATTGGTAATGAGAAGTTCTGTGCCAATAAGTTCCAGTTTCATCAGGGATCAGCAGAGTGAGCCTTAGTGATGGAGAAACGGGTGGATGGATAGATGTGATGAAGAGATTTTTTCTGGGGAAACCATTCAATTGACCCACGGAAGACAGTTGAGACCACAACTTTTGGAAGGAGTGATTTTTGTAGCAACAACAGAGGGAATGGAATGGGAATGGGAATGGAATGAAAAGGTCATGTTTACATTTTAGAAACATAAAAACCAACATTTCAAAAGTATCATTGGGTATCACGTTACATATAGAAAGGCAATAATTTCACCTTCCATTTCCTAATGTACAGTGGAACCTCGAGATACAAGCACCTCGACATACGAGTATTTCGAGATACGAGAAAACATTCAATTAAAATTTTGCTTCAAGATACGAGTAAAGACTTGAGATATGAGCACGCTTACAGGCGCCGACGCTAGGTGGCCGAGCACTCGGAGCAGCCCATGCCGCCTCACTCGTTTACTTCATGTGTTCGGCGACCTCCGTAAGCATCGCTTCCGTGATTTTCTTTCTATTTTGTGCATTATTCTTCATAAGAATGATGAGTCCTAAGAAAGTGAGTGGTAAGGATGGTAGTGAGTCAATAAATATGAGCATGGTGCCCGCGTGAGTGATATAGCACGCATGTATGATCGCAGCACAGCCACGATATCCTAAAACTTAAAAAAAAAATAATAGTAAGTTAAGTTAATTCTAGGGCGCTTTGGCCCAGAGGCAATGTCTCTGTCATTGGTGTGGAACCCCAGGGTTCACCTCCTGGGCAAGTTCAAGTCCCGGTTAGGGCGGTTGGTACCTTCCAGTGGACTCACCACCCGCAGGAAGGTTTGGTACGGTGCAATGTGATTTGGGTGGCGACTGCTGCTCCCGCGACCCGGTAACGGATAAGCGGATGAAAATGGATGGATGGATGGAAGTTAATTCTAACTTTATGTAAGTTACATAGTGTATGTGTAAGGTATGGTATGGAATGAAGTATCTACGCACAGGCCAACTCTCTTCCCTCCCTTCCTCCCTCCTCATGTGCGGAGGTATGCTACTGTCTCGTCTGTCTCGAAGGTAAGAACGCATAAATAAAACCATTTTATTTTAAATCACCGGAATTCTTATATACTATAATTTTTTGTGTATGTCTCTATAGCAATTAAAAACATGTTTTTTCCATTGTTATTAGCACTAATAAGGGAGTTTTTTAGAGGGCTGGAACAGATACATTTGTTATTTCTTATGGGAAAAAATGATTTGAGATACAAGCACTTCGAGTTACAAGCTAGGTCCTGGAACGGATTATGCTTGTATCTCGAGGTTCCACTGTACTTTATTTTGTTCCTTCCATGGGACCAGGAATTGTCCAGAAATCTGCTTTTGAAACAAGACTCTTCATAAATTGGAGAAGTTTCTTTGAAACACAGATGGGACGATATTATTTTTTCTTATCCATGAGGCCAATTCCTCATGAGACAAAAGAAAATCTTTTGCTTTGTCTTTGTCTGTACACTCAGACAGGATTATCAGGAATTTTTATCTACAGAAATCACAATCATCCTAAATCACAATGTTATCTAATATTCATCACATAACGTAAACAAAAATTCTGAATAGACTGACTTGACTGTTGTGTGTGTGTTGGAGCCTAAAGTCTTCTTCATTTTACTTTTTAAATTGATCGTCTTATTCACTGAGTTAGTAACCGCCATTCTGACTACAAAGCAACCTGGAGACCACTGCTGTTCACTTTGAGGACAGATGTTTAGATCGGGTTTTTGTTGTTAAAGCAGTATTGGGGAATTGTGGTGAATTCTCATTATTTGGCAGTATAAAGGAACAGACAGGAACAGTCTCGCCAGCTCCATATTTGCCCTTCAGTTATTCTACAGTTTGAAAACAGTTTGAAGAATCCACTCTCACAGAGACATGTTGTTCCAAAAGGCAAGAAAACACTTTACTGCATTTGCTACAAACATGCGGTAAAGTCTCACATTTCACCTTTGTCGGTGACTTTTTTCTTATTTTAAACTGCTCCAGTTTTGGAATCTTAATAAAACTAACATGTGTAATGCTTACACAAACCACTGGGGGCAGTGGGCCACCTTTTGAAAATCCCTGTATTTTGTGTATTTAAGAGTAACTGGAAACAATTGAACCTATATCTAATAGTTGGTACAAGACAAAATGTATAACCCCATCTATTTTATTTTATGATCTGCAAATTTGACTAATAAAACAGATGCAGCAAACAGAGCTGACACGGCATGACCTTACACAAACACAAGCGTTGCTTATTTCTTATTTTTTTTAATTTGGAGATTAAAAACTATTGATTACCTTCACAGCCACCAGTATCTTCTCCTGGTCAGGTGAGAGGTTGTAACACTCAGCCAGAAAGACTTTTCCGAAGGCTCCCTCTCCCAGCTCCCTCTTCAGAACAATGTTGTGTCTCATAATGTGCTGGATGACTGTAGAACAAAAAAACAAAAACAAAAAAAAGGTCAAATAATTAGTTCAACATGTTTCTGGGTGATACTTTATGGAGTACTTTTGTAAAAGTAAAATCTAGGTTATAATACTAATAGTAATAATTCACTTGATCGTACAGCGCTGTACAAAATACTAATAGAATATTACTTCAAACACAATAATCAACATAATATAAAAAAACATCAGACCAGATGGGTATTTATTTTATTTTTTCCTGAAAGCAGGACGGGCTGAATAGTTTTGACAGGTTTAAGGAGGTAATGACTTTGGTGCTTTGCTTGGTCAGGTGTGGTGAAGGTGGAGGTTTGGATCAGAGGAGCCTAGGAAACTGAGTGTGTGTGGATTATGTAGGGCTTTGTGTTGGGGGAGTAGGAGATTCATTGGATGAAGTGCTGCGGTGCTGAAAGCTAGTGGAGTTTCAAGAGAACAGAAGTGATGTGGTTGTGAGAGGAGGAACTGGTGTGGGTCTGCAGACCTGCAGTAGGGCTTTGGACAGTTTATGGAGGAGTTTGTTGGAGAGCTGATGCAGAAGTGGAATTTGGATGTGATGGAGAGTTTCTGCAGCAGAGAGGCAGAGTGAGTGAGGGCTGAAGATGAGCAATGTTCCCTTAGTGAAGGTGAACAGTTTTGGTGCAGATGGTGATGCTGGACTCTAAGGTGGTTTTTCAGTGAATAAAGCTTTCCAGTTGGACAATGAGACAGAATTTAGGCTATTTTAATTTATTATAATTTGTATTATTTACCCCTCCTTGAACCGCAACCTTAACGTGGTGGAGGGGTTCAAGTATCCGAATGAACCTAGTCAGCCATGTTGACGTGTCAACATGGCTCCTAGTGGGCCCACCACCCGCAGGAAGGCCCACAAGGGGCTGGGGCCCCTGGAT